GGGGGGGGGGGCGGGGGGACGTCGGACGTATTTTCCGTCAGCCTGTCCTTGGCCAAAGTATGCAGTGCTTCTCTCTCTCAGAACCGAAGCCTTACAGGAAGTGACCGTGTAAGGTGGAGCGCTTTCTAAAACATTTTAGAGACAAGTGGAGTGTGTCAACTCTGCTACTTCTGACTCGGGTTGCTTCCTAGAGGCCCCGGCACTGTGTGCTTGGATACAGCGATCTTCCCAAGGGCTCCTGAGAATGAAGAGGCCCCCTGGCCGCAGGATGCCGTGGGTCTTTGTTCCTCTGTACGAGACGCTGAGCACCACCCTGCCCCTTACCCCGGCTGCTGCTCCCCACTCCCCAGCCCACTTCCAAGTCGTTTCTGCGTGTGGTAGCCCACTTCATCAAACAACCAAGCGCGTTTGCGATTTTAAAGACTTAAAACTAAAGTGAAGAGGCCCAGAGCAGTTTCTCAGAGGATCAGGCATATAAATTTTAGCCCATAAATTTGTCCTCTTACAGGCTCCATGGTGCTTTGCTTTTTCTCATTTATTTATTTTAAAAAACGTTGAGTGCCTAGATCAAATTTTATCCTGGGCAAGAATACAGGCGTGATGGGAAGCGATGAGAATTTGCCTTGATGAAACTGGCACGCCAGTGAGTGAAAAAGGAGAAACAAGTTAATAAAATATTCCTGTATGCAACTAAGTCAATGGTGAGAGAAATGGAGAAAAACCAAGCCAGGATGGAGAAACAAGAGATACTGAGAGATGGCGGCAGTGATATTGGAGCAGAGACTGCGAATGATGAGCTGCACCGATCTCCGAGGTGGGAAAGATCCAGGCCAAGGTGCCCAAGGGAGGGAGGGGCCAGGGGCCCCATAGGGCTACAGCAGGTCAGGCCAGGAAGGAGGGGCTGCACCGGGCCCTGCAGGGAATTCTAGCGACATCAGCTTTGCCCCCAGAGTGATGGAGGAAGTCAGCGATGGAGGCTGGGCAAGAGTGCAGTGCAGCCATTGATGCTTTGAAATGATTCCTCAGAGTGGTGTACAAAATAGCAAAAAAGAAGGGAAAGAATCAGGAGACTCACTCAGTGGCCACTCTGGATGGGTCATAGGTGGGAAGCCTTGGTAACCGCCAAGGTAGGAAAAGTGGCCACGTTCCATGTATAATTTTGAGGATAGACACAGAAAGGTTTGTTGGATGCTGAGTGTGTGATAAAAGAAGAAAAGGGCAGAAAGGTGACTCTGAGGTTGGGGTATGACATTGAGAATGAAGAGTTAGATGGGTCGGGACAAAATATGTGGAGGCAAAGAGGTCCAAGAGGTCAAGGGTGAGAACTGCAAAGGTCGTTTTAAAGGCTTCTGAAATCAGCCCAATCCACAAGCGACAGCTAAGGAAGAGATTGCCAATGAACAGGAACCTCGGATATGGGGTAGGGAGTACCACGTCCAGCACTTGAGAGGACTTAGAACGGATGTAGGACCCAAGACTCAGACCTCAGAGTTTCAGGAAGGACCAAGCGAGTGTCTCCTGTGAGTGGCTGTGGGGAACAGGATGAGACAACATCATTTATTTCCAGACCCACAGTACAATGGTAGGGAGAGAAAAATGGGCCTTTCTGGAAGACTGAAGGAACACAGACTTCAGGGTGAGGCCACAGGCATAGGAGGAAGGGGAGGCTGACATTCAGAGGAGAGAAAGGGAAGAGGTTCTGGATCCCAAGGGTGCAAAAGGCAGGTTTTGATACACAGGATGAAGCCAGATGCATCAGTAAGCTCTCCCATCACTCCCACACAGTACCTAACACTCAGAACTTAAAGGAGGAGAGGTCTATTTTGGATCACAGTTTTCAGAGGTTTCAGTCCATGGTTGGCTGCTCCAAGGTAGAAACATGGCAGAAGGGCCTGGTGGAAGACAGCTGCTCAGCTCAGGGCAGCCAGGAAGCAGGGAGAAGGGAGGATCTGGGGACAGGAGCACATCCTTCCAGCTCACACCCCGGGGACCTCCTCCAACCAGGCCCCACCTCCTGCAGCACATTCAGCCCAGAACTCACCCATGATGGATCCACTGGGGGACACCGTCCCCAGCACCCAGCACCTTCCAAAGCCCTCAACTCTGAACACAGGAGGATTTGTGGGAGTTGTTTTAGAACTAAACTGTAATGCTGGAGTTGAGTCAGAAAAGAATGGGCTACGAGACTTAGGGTAAAAGATGAAGATGCTGCTCCCTTGTTAGAATTTGCTATGAAGCTCAAGAGGACAAAGTCGGTGCTTTCAACTAGCATTTCTCTGGATCCAGAAGCTTTCTACAGGACTGAACAGATCCAAGCCCAGGAAAGGTGCTGTGGGTCAGCTCTGTGCCTTGTGTCAGAAAGGGGATTCAAATTCATGGATGAGGGGTGATGGAGAAGTCTACAGCTCTTTGTGGTGGTGCAAAGCACAAAGGACATGGAAAATTGATTCTGTTGGTCCCCAAGTAGACATGGTGGTAAGACAGTGAAGACAGGGGACAAGTGACAAAGAGGTCTTCCAGGAATAGGTTTGCATTCATTTCATAGAGCCTTTAAAGCCAGGGGAAGTATGGTTCCCCTTGGAATCCAAAAGCTCCCCAATCAAACAAAGACTCCCCAG